AAAGAAAACATCAACTGGTCGCCTCCCCTATGGTCCCTGACCGGGGATTTAACCCACCGCCTTTGGGTGTACGGAATGAGCCATCTGGCCAGGGCAGTATCATGCTTTTAATAACTATAACTTTATAATAATTTTATTCTTTAGTAGTACCACAGCCTAATGTACAGGCATTCCTCTTATTTATAATATTTTCCTTGCTCTTCTCATGTGTTACTTCCAATACACTTTAGAATCATTATGAAAATTTAAAAATCCTGCTGTGGTTTCATGTATGTGGTTATTATATTGAATTTATAGATTAATGTAAGGTGAAGTTACCTCTCTACAATATTGAGTTATTCTAGTCAAGATTAAGAGAATTTATCTCATTTTTTAATATTTTCCTAATTTAAAGGTAATTTTCTTAATGGTTAATTCTTTATTTGTTCAGAAGCAAAATTAATACTTGATCAATGCAAATTTTAAAAAGAAAAAAGAGTAAGAATATGTTGATATAAAAATATGTTGACTGCAAAATTCCTTACCATGTTCTGATTCTTATCATTAGCCACAATTAACAACTCATTTGTGTCCTTTCAGCTGTTTTTTTCCATGACTATACACTTTAAATACACGTGTAATTTGGTATACAATCCAATCAAGTTTTAGTTTATTTGAGGACTCATACTATACATTCTATGTATATTCAGCCATTTGCTTTTTAAAAAATTTAGTAATGCAGCCCTAGCTGGTGTGGCTCAGTGGACTGAGCACCGGCCTGTGAACCAAAGGGTTGCCGATTTGATTCCCAGTCAGGACACATGCCTGGGTTGCAAGCCAGGACCCTCGCAGGGGTTGTGTGAAATGTAACCACACATTGGTGTTTCTCCCTTTCTTCCTCTCTCTAAAAATAAATAAATGAAATCTTAAAAAAAAAATTCCAAGATAAGTTTTTAAAAAAAATTTAGAAATGCCTTTCATTATTTTTCTTTTTATAGATGTTTGAGCGCTCATGCTAGGGTTTAACAAGGGGATGCATTCACACTGGAGAAATTATTTCTCCCAAAGAACTATAACCACACATTCTCAACATAAATATATGATTGAACTAATATCGATATACATCATGTTTTATCAATTACATAATAAAGCAAATTAGGAAGTATCCAAATATTACATTACATAGCTCAAAAGGCATATATTAATGTCTGTTCAATTGATTACCAGAAGCTCACTTTTTTAAAAAGAGAAATTGGGAAGAAAAGGAAAATAATCACACTCCAAACAAAAATAATAGTGGTAGACCCTAGGCAGCGTGGCTCAGTTGATAGGGTATTGCCTCGCAAATCGGAAGGTTGCCAGTTTGATGCCCGGGCAGAGCACAAGCCTAGATTGCAGTTTTGGTCCCTGGCAGGCGTGTGTACTGAAGGCAACCAACTGATGTTTCCCTCTCACACTGATGTTTCTTTTCCTCTTTTTCTCCCTCCCTTCTCCTCTCTCTAAAAACATATAAAAACATCTTTAAAAAATTATAGTGGTAAGCAACTTCCAACATATAAAAACATTACAAGATATTCAAAAATTTCATGATTGAATCTTGTTTTAGCTGTAATAACAATGCATCATTACTGTCGAAAAATACGTACTAGAGGATATATTCTACATTTTCTTCACAAGACAAAGGCAACATTTTATTTAAAATATTAATAACCCCCTCATTCTTTCTCAGGTCCTTCTTGTTAAGTTATACTCCAAATGCAAACATTCAATTAACTGTAAAGGTTTTTTTTTGTCTAAAGGCATTAAAGGTAGGTGCTTCTGTGTAGACTTTCAAAATGGAAGTTTTCAATAACAGTACAAAATGAGATTTCTAGAAAGACGAAAATAATCACTGTAAGACTTGGTTAAAATCCAACACAAATTAATGCTTGCGTAAGTCTAATTATACTGGTACAAACATGGGAGATTTAACGTAAAACAAGCAGACCAATAACCATACAGGCTCTTCTTCCTTTGTTTGAAATGACTGAAGGGGAAAACCACAGAAGATCTAGTGTGTTCATCGTTCTTGGGATTTTGATTTTATACGATACTAAAAATATACAAGTATTGGTCTGGGTATTTTGGTACTTAATTTCTCTCAAGTTCTTATATGTTAATAAGATTCTGGCATGGGAATGGGTTTAAAGAAGACCTAACTTAAGACTGCATGGTTTCAGGAAAGGATACCAATGATACCAATGAGAAGCACATTTTAAATGCTGAATAGCAACTATCTTTTGCTAAGAGTCCAAATAGGACGAGGAGGCGGGGCTCATGGGGGTTATTTTAACAGTCTGCCTGCCACATAGGTCCCATGTGTTTCTTCTTAAATTTCTGCTGCCTGGGTATTCTGTCCCTTTGTGTTGTTAATTGGAATTAGACCTCTTCTTCTGTTACATTTTGACTCATTGTTGACTTATAGGAAAATGTGTAGTAGTGTGGTTTGGAATCCTGCATCCACTGCTTACCAACTGGGCAATTTACTTTTCCTCTTTAAGCCTTAGCTAATTCATCTCTTAATTGAGTGGCATAATAGAACCTCTCTCTTTATGTTGTTGTGAAAATTAAATGAGATGATGTAAAATGAGATGATGACATAAAGCCTTGGCAGAGGATTAGAACATAGTAAGTGGTTATTAGATGATAACATTAATAATTATTGTTAAAAATATTTAGCCCTGGCTGGCGTGGCTCAGTGGTTTGGGCACCAGCCTGCAAATGAAAGGGTTGCTGGTTTGATTCCCAGTCAGGGCACATGCCTGGGTTGCAGGCCAGGTCCCAAGTAGGAGGCCTGCAAGAGGCAACCACATATTGATATTTCTCTCCCTCCCTCTCTCTCTCCCTCCCCCTCTCTAAAAATTTTTTTTTAAATCTTAAAAAAAAATATCTATGCCCTGACCAGGTAGCTCAGTCAGTTGGCACGCCGTCCTGATACACCAGGGTTTTGGATTAGATCCCCATCAGGGCACGTGCAGGAGTAAACAAATGACTGCATCAATGGGTGGAGTAACAGACCGGTGTTTCTGTCTCTTATATCGGTAAGTGAAAAATATATTTATTTTATAACTAGCTACCCTACTAAAACCTTGCTATTTCTACTAGTTTCTCATTTAATACATTTCAGTTTTCCAGTAGGCAATTATTTCATCTGTAAGGAAAGCTATGTTTAATATTCCCCCTTTTGTATATATCTTTTTTATTTTATAAAAAGTAAAATAAACAGAGCTCTTTCACAGACTACAAATTCTATCATTTAATTGCTCTACTGTCTTATATATTTTTGAGACTTGATCTGTTAAGGACTAAGATGTTAAAATGTTAGATGTTAGATGTGAGAATGTTAGAATCTGTGGCTATTTTTGTATTTTGAGGCCTCCTCTTATAACCTGCAATTCTTTGCTTTGTGTGTTTTAGTGCTATTATTTGGTAGATAATGTTCATGACCACTACATTTGTTTTGTGGGTCATGTATTTGATAATTATAAGTGATCCTTCTTGTCCTATTTAATTTTTTTTTTCTGCCTTGAATTCAACTATACTCACATTAATATTACCAACTTTACTCTTTTTTCCCCTTGGAATGTTTTTGCCTATTATTTTATTTGTGATTTTTCTAGTCTCTTTCTTACGACTTGATTTTTTTTTTTTGATTTATCAGAAATAAATTTTGGTAAATGGTATAAAATATCAATTTCACTTACATATGTGCCTCAAGTTACATTTCCTTTATATATTACACAATCAACTCATTTAATACCTAACCAGCCCACGCATAATTCACCAATATGCCTCCTAAAGCAAGGGACTTAAAGGAAAGAATAAACAAGTGGGACCTCATCAAAATAAGAAGCTTCTGCATGGCTAAAGAAAACATCAGCAAAATGAAAAGAGAGCCAACCGTTTGGGAAAATATATTTGCTAACGATACGTCAGATAGAGGTTTGATCTCCAAAATATATAAAGAACTCACTCGACTCCACTCCTAGAAGACAAATGACCCAATCAAAAAATAGGCGAAGGACCTGGGCAGACGCTTTTCCAAGGAAGAAATACAGAGGGCCCAGAGACATTTGAAAGGATGCTCGGCATCACTAGCCATCAGAGAAATGCAGATCAAAACCACAATGAGGTACCATCTCACGCCGGTCAGAATGGCCATCATATACAGATCGACAAACAACAGGTGCTGGCGAGGCTGTGGAGAAAAGGGAACACTAGTACATTGTTGGTGGGAATGCAGACTGATGCAGCCATTGTGGAAAGCAGTGTGGAATTTCCTCAAAAAGCTGAAAATGGAACTGCCTTCTGATCCAGCGATTCCTCTGCTGGGACTATACCCTAAGAATCCCAAAACGCCAATTCAAAAGAACCTCTGCACCCCAATGTTCATAGCAGCACAATTTACAATAGCCAAGTGTTGGAAGCAACCTAAATGCCCATCAGTAGATGATTGGATCAAAAAACTATGGTACATTTACACAATGGAATACTATGCAGCAGAAAGAAGAAAAGAACTATTAAACTTCGCGACAACATGGATAAAACTAGAGAGCATTATGCTAAGCAAAATAAGCCAGGGGGTGAAAGACAAATACCATATGATTTCACCTATAAGCGGAACCTAACCAACAATACAAAGATGCAAGGAAAATAAGACCAGCAACACTGGAAGGAGAAGAAATGAACAGAGACAAGAGGGATGGAGGGAGGGGGCGACGGGGGAAAAGGAAGGGAAGGGGAGGGTCAGGGAACCTGTAGCAAGGTCTCATGGACAAAACCAAAGGGGAAGGATTGAGGGAGGGTGTGGGGAGGGGGCAGGGGAAACTGGTGCGGGGAAGGCAGAGACACATGTATTTGAGAAATAAATAAATAGATAGATAGATAGATAAATAAATAAATAAGAAAAAAGAAAAAGGAAACAAAAAAATACCTAATCGGGAAAAAATTATTTTAATGGAATTTGCTTTTTTGTGCCTCAGCAGCTCTAGATTCCTGTGGCTCTTCAAGATGTCCGTCTTCATCTTAGTAGCTGGCATGGTTTTGTTCATTCTCAGAGGGGTAGTCCTTCATGAAGAGTTCAGCCTCCACCCAGAGTTCCCACGTCCTGCTCAGGCGGTGCCGCTGCCGAAGCTGCTGCCCGAGGATCGTCTCAGGAAACTCTTTACCTACGATGAAATCTGGTGAGTTATCACCTGTTATCTCGCTCTCGCCTCTGTCTTGGCGCCTCCTATGGTTTACTCTGCTCTTTTGTGCCCATTTGCAGATGGTCCTTTACCTTCCTGAACCTGTGTTGGTTGCTAAAATGATTCCCAGCTGTGGGACCAGGAAAGGGCTTGATCTCCAGGGCACAGTCTCTGTTGTCCACAATGCTCAGCAAAGTCCCTTAAAACCTTGGAGGGCTCCTTTAACTGCCGCCTTTTTGTCCCTCAGGCCTCCTCTTCTGGTGGGGCTGAAGCGCCACCCACATTCCCATGGCTCACGGTTAAAGAATTTTGGTGCAGGGGATAACTGAAGAGAGGGGGGCCTTCTTCCCGTCCCCCTCTCCCTCCTCCCTGTGTCTCTGTCAGGGACCCCTGCTGAGGTTCCAGGGTCTCAGCCCTACTAGGACAGCGGGTCTGGGAAAGGGGAGTCTCAGAATGACCCACTGGACGAGGCCTCAGGTTCCCTCTCACCCACCAACCCGGCCACCCAGTAACGTTCAGTCCTCTTGCTTGTTTTAGGCTGTTCCCCAAAAATCACTGCCAGTGTGAAACCAAACAGCAGGGCTACAACTTTCAGGAGGCCTATGCCCGGACAGACCTTCCTGCCGTGAACGCGAGGAGGCAGGCTGAATTTGAACACTTTCAGAGGAGGTAAGGTGGACCGCGAGGGCGCTCGCGTCCTGAGGAAGAGCGGGCGCTCCCTCTGCTTCGTCCTGAGAGTGTGGGGTCGAAGGGAGAAGGAAAGAGCTCCCTTTCTGCAAGGTCCCTGGAAGGAACTATTAGGAATAAAACCAACAAAAGAGAACTGAGGAAAGAGTCCTTAAATGAAGATTTCTAAACTTGGTATGTATAAAACATTTCATCATAAAAAAGGAGCCAAGGAGTGGCAGTGGTTTGACATGTCAGGGTGGTGGTGTGGCACAGCCGCCATGTGCCCAGGCTATCGGAGCAGGTGACCTTGTGGTCTCACCAAGCTGCGCTATCATATTCATTTATGTTGAGAATGGACTATCTCCTTGCTATGTGCAAAGCGCAATGTATTGACCAGGATTATTGATTGAAAAGAGCGGAAATTGATTCTGGCCGGCTTATGTCAAAAGGGAATTTGTGGGAAGGATGTTGGGAACTCACCAAATCCATAGGTGGTAGGATGACCAGGCTGAGAAATTAAGATACAAGGGAGTACATAAGGGCTGGACAAGCCCTCCAAGCTATTGATTTATTTATTTACAATCATTTATGAGCTATCACGGAAGGTGTGCTTTAATTAAAAAATAATAGCACTGCGATTAAGGTCTTTAACTTTGAAACAAGCTGGATGGCAAGTTACTTAACCTCATAGTATTTCAGTACCTTATATGAAAAGTTATAATAGGGATACCTCCTTCAAAGGCTTATTGTAAAGGGAATGGTATTAACATGCAAAGAATTAGTAACTCAAAAAGGGCCTAACACATAGAAGCACTGCAAAAATATTACTCTTCCTGTTGTGGTTTATTATTAATATCATCATTCTGACAGTTTTTTATAGGCAATACATAATACATGAAGAAATACATAAACCACGTATATATTAGATGGTTAGAAGTGTTATGTGGAGACATAAATTCAAATACTGTGGTAGGATGCCACCTGATATCATACAATTTCACAGGATCATGAAGGAAGGTAACTTTGAGCTCTGACTGGTATATCAAGCAGGAATCGACCCAGGTCCCCCATAAGAAAACATTCCAGAAAGAAGAGTTCATGCAGAGCCCAAAGCCAGCGTGGGCCTTGCAAGCTGATGGCATGACAAGAAAGCAGGCCATGGCACCTAGTAAGCCAGGGGAGGGCAGGTGGAATGTCAGCCTAGAGGACAGCCAGTCAGGAGGGCCAATGTAAGCCAGGAAGGGGAGTGTGCCTTTTGTTTTCTGGTTAGTACAAAGAACTGAACAGTGTAAAAAAGTGGCAAGTTATCTGAGATACGTCACGCTGGTCTCTGTGCAGAATAAATGGTAGTGAAGGTATATGGAAGGCAGGGAAACCTGCTGAGTAGTCAGGTGGAAGGTAAGTGTTCATTGTGCTGGAGCAGCTGTTGGCCATGCCTCCTTGTGCAACAGTCCCCAGTTGGGGACTGAGCCTAAGTTATGAATCAAGGAAGAGAAAGAGTGAATTGGGCTCTGTCCAGGTTTGATTTGTAGAGTCACCCACTACCCCTCCAACTACACACACATGGAAGATCCCCCAGAAGAAAGACAGGGGCACCAACAGGAAGGAGTGCTGAAGTCAGAGAACCAGTGGAACACGCAGGTGATTCCTGCAGGGACTTGAGCCCAGCCCCAGCTCGCTGTGTGAGGAGTGGTGGTGTTCAGTAGTGAACAGTGCCGCCAAGCGAGGCAGACTGGCTGCATTCAGGTCTGGCGTCCTCCACGTCCCGGCTAGGTGACCCAGGGCAAGTGGCTTCACCTCCCCTGTAAATGGTGATAATAATAGTCCCTAGAATTTTTGTGAGCGTAAGTTGATACATGGAAGGGCTTAAAACTGTATCAGGTGTGTAGCCACAATGAGATTCTACAATAGGATAATAGAGAGGATAAGCAAAGTATCTGTAACTCCATGTGAAAAGCTCTCACACCAAGCAGAACCGGGGCTCTGGCTCGGGACCCTAACCCCCTGTGTGCCTCCTGTCAGGGCAGTGCCCACTGTTTGTCTGCTGGTGTCTGTATGAGGTCCCTGGCGGGGACTTGAGGCACCTGGCACAGGTTCAACAAACATCTATAGAATAAGTAGATGGTGTGAGGGGAAACCCTGCGGCTTATGTAGGATGATGGCTGTTTGTCCAGGGCAGTGAGGGGGCTGCTGAGAGAAAGAAGTCACAGCTGCGTCAGGGAAACACCTCAGGTGTGCAAGTTGCCGGAAGTGCATGGTAGGGAAGGGAGAATGCGAGATGGGAGAGGTGAGGTAGGGAGGACTTGAGGCTGGCGTGTGACTGTTGGATGGAGTACTGATCTGGAGAGAGCTGGGAAGAAGGAATTATAAGAAGGAAGTGACTCCAAACTAGGAAGGAGCTGGCTGTGTCTCTAACTGCCCCTCCCCGACCTGTGAAAATTCCCATCTTTCTTGAAATTATACCTGACAATTCAGGTATGAACAACAACAACAACAAAAAACAGGGCTCAGTAATACAAATCAGTGCAAGTCAGGTCTCCTGACGGCAAGGAGGTAGCTGGACAGAGATACCCAGTTTCTATCAATGCCTCATATCTCTCAATCAGCTGATGGAAAAACACTGAACATCTGCTTTGAGCAAGGCATTGAATTAGATACAAAGAGAAATCTGATAGATCCTGCTCTCAACAAGCTTGCGGTATAACGGAGAGGATACAATCAGTGGCCCTCCGCCAGAGCGGTGTTCATTTCCGTCACAGCCACCGCGTGCCGTCTGGATCACGCAGTGGCTGAGCCCAGCACTGAGTGAGTGTGGGCAGTCTGTGGCCCACGCTTTGTAGTCAGCAAACTGTGTGGAACTCGAGAGCTCAATTCAAAGCTCCAGACTGGAACAGCAGTCAGAGTAACGGGGTACGTCTTAGAAGGGAGAGTCACTTCCAGCTCTGAGAATGAAAAAGGTACAATCAAGAAGATGGTGACATTCAGCCCTGGCTGGTGGGGCTCAGTGGATTGAGCGCCAGCCTGCAGACTGAAGCGTTGCCAGTTCCATTCCCAGTCAGGACACAGGCCTGGGTTGCGGGCCAGGTCCCCAGTGAGGGGTATGCAAGAGGCAACCACACATTGATGTTTCTCTCTTTCTCCCTCCCTTCCCCTCCCTCTAAAAATAAATAAAATAAGAGCTTAAAAAAAAAAGATGGCGACATTCAGAGATGGCCTCATCTCTGTAACTGAACAAGGTGTTGGTGTTTGGGTCTGGGTTTCCTGCTTCCCAGAAAGGGGCTTTTTTTTTTTTTTTTTTTTTTTTGTGCCCTGTTGAGCATAGGACCTGGCATTCAAGAAGTGAATGAATAACGGAGCATGGAGTGATGTGTGGCTTCAGGCAGAGCCCTGGGTATGGCTCATTTCTTGAAGGAGGACAGCCCGTTTGGAGGGTAACGCTTCAGGCATTAAAAAGAATTAAGTAGATCTAGACACACTGATGGGGGGAAGCTCTATTGTTTATTATGACAAAAAAGCAAGGTACAGGAAGTTTGTTCAGTGTACTACCATCTGTATTGTTAAAAGTGGAGGGAATATTTGTGCGTGTGTGTAAGTCAGTTTATATAGGTCAGGGGAGAGGTAAGAACAGTGGTGTTAAATGTTAAACAATGGGTTTTTGAAGCTTTTAATGGCTGCTTCCAGTGTCTGCCAGTTTCCATGGTGGAATAATCACGCCATGGCTGATTTCAAGCTGCGGACATGATGTCACTGAATGCATAGCTGTGAAATATCTGCACTGTACGAATACCCTAATGGATGTAAATAACCTCAAGAGCAGAGAGAGTAAAATAATTAAGAAGTGATGAGTCCTGAGTGTTTATTACCTTTTTTGGCATTACATTATATTTAATTTTAAGTGTATACAATTTAAATTATTTTAGTAGCCGTATTTAACAGCCGGCTTGCAAAATTCCTGAAAGTTCAACTACAGGCTTTCCGGGGCCATTACCAGCCAGCCCTAGTGTTGGCCCACATGGTCTGATTATTTTGTTTCTCTTTTACTGGTTGTGATTTTTATTTTTATTGTTGACAGTATGACAGATGTCCTCATTTACCCACCTTTGCCCAGCCCATGATTTTTATTTTTAAGTGCTTTGTTGTGAACTGCCTCAGTTCCCTTGCGGAATTAGAGGATGGGAGTAAGTGGGGGTGGGGATGGAGGGTAGGTGTCGGGGCAGCCGCTGACCTCCGTTTCCCTGCAGAGAAGGGCTGCCACGCCCACCGCCCCTGCTGGCTCCGCCCAACCTTCCCTTTGGGTACCCGGTCCACGGGGTGGAGGTGATGCCCCTGCATACTATTCTTATCCCAGGTAGGTATGTCCCCATCGGAGAGAACCGAGCCACTTTCCTATTCCTTCTTAAGCAAAACGAAGTAACAGAAGGGAGCAGTCATAAATTGAATGCCTGCTGTGTACCCCGCACAAGGCAAAATGTTCGACATGATTTCATTTAATGTAAACGTCAGTGTTTCTACTACTGGAGATCACCCTTAGTCGCTGTGACCTCCCTGGGGCTATGAGATAACACAGAAGAGGACAGATATCCATGTGCCCCGAGGAACCTTAGGACATAATTGGCTTTTTGGTGTCCTACAGCATCATGGGAGCAGGCAAAGCATGGGCCCATCTCCAGGGAGTGGAACATTCATAGCGATTAGAACTCCCAGGTCTGTGCCCTGACTAGTGTGGCTCAGTGGGACAGGCATCGTCTGGCGACCTGGAAGGGTCCCCAGTCCGGGAGGGCATCGTATCTGAGGAAAGCAGTGTTTGTCCGTGCCGGGTCTGGCTCTCGAGTTCCATCCTCACAGTCCCTATCCTGGAGGAAGATCACTGGGGCTCTGGTGGAGGCGCAGCAGCGCTGCTTTCTAGAAATGAAGCATTTATTTGGCTTTCAAACAATTAAAATGCTTGTCCTAAGCAGGACCTTGCTCAGGAAAACAAACAAACAGAACAAAGCAAAAAAAAAAAAAGAGGGACTTCTCCACACCCCTCTAGTCGTCACACTCCACAGCCTCCTGAGGTAAATATTATTTCGCCAATTTCACAGATGAGTTTAGTAAGTTATCTATGGCCACACAGGGAAGATATGTTTGAATTAGAACTTGAATTAATCATATTATAAGGAAAGGGATAGACACTAAAGTAAACACATTTGGGGTTAATTGTTAGTGTTTTTAAAGTCATTTAAAAATTACATACTGTGGATGATTCATTTTTTATTGTGGTAAAGTATACATAACAAAATTTACTGTTTTAACCATTTTTAAGGTTACAGCTCTGTTACACTAAGTACATGCACATTGTTCTGCAATTATCACCACTATCCATCTCTAGAACTTTTTTATCTTCCCAACTGGAATTCTGTACCTATGTAACACTAACTTCCCTCTCCCCGCTGCGCCTGGCAACCACCATTCTGCTTTTTGTTTTTTTACACAATTTTAATAGATTCTATTTATTTATTATTTATTATTAGAGAGAGGGTGAGGGAGGGAGAAAGAGAGGGAGCGAAACATCAATGTGCTAGAGATACTACATCGGCTGCCTTTTGCAGACCCCCAACTGGGGACCTGGCCCACAACCCAGCCATGTGCCCTGACTAGGAATCAAACTGGCAGCCTTTTGGTTCATAGGCCAGCACCAAATCCACTGAGCCACACCAGCCAGGGCTACTTTCTGTCTTGATGATTTGACTGCTCTGGTGCCTCATGCCAGGATTGTTTCCTTCCCTGCAGTAACAGAGATACCTGGAAGGGACTGGATTAATTCATAGCATCCACCCAAAGCTGACAGTAGGCATCAGAGGTTTTAGAACCTCTAGAAGGACCATGGGAAGCACCTAACAGAGCCCTGGGGAGAGGGAAGTGTGTCAGCAAACACCCTGGATAGGAGGGACACTTAAAGGGACACTGGAGGAATGTGGGGTTAGCCAGGAAGGTTTGAGACTCAAAGAGCCCTTGGAACCCTCTCAGATGCTGTTTTCTTTTTCGTCTTCTTTTGTGTGTCCTGCAGGTCTCCAGTTTGATGGACCCAACGCTACCATCTATGAGGCAAGAGTTGCCCTCCCAGTCTTTTTGTGCACTTGGCATCCTGTCCTCGACTCACTGCCCGTGCCCCCGCCCCCAGGGGTGGCTGGTCTCAGATTTTGATAGAGCCCCCATCCAGATAAAATACCAGACATGAGTCTGAGGTGGGGGGAGGGGGACCCATGGAGGGTGCACTTTTTCCAGCCATGAGAATGGCTGGAATTCCAGGGAGCACTTCCAAGACCACACCAGCGCCCTGAGCCCCCACGGATGGACGCGGCTGCTCCTGCAAGAGGAAGCTGCTGCCACAGCCACGGCCCCTGTGTTGCGTGGCCTCTGTCAGGGGCGCAACCAGGGCGGGTGCCCATGTCTTGCCCTGCTTTCCCCACTTAAAGCTCCAAATCCAGGTCTTCTGCAAGTACATCTGACTGCGGGGGGGGGGGGGGGGGGCGTGGTAGGTCACAACAAGAACCCTAACCAAAAGGAGCCTGGGAAATGTAGTTTTAGCTTCCTTACCTCTGCGTGTTAAACAGAGGTCGGAAGGGGTGATGCATGAGCAAAGCTATTCTCCCCTGCAGAGGCCTCCGCTGCCCCCGCCCCCAGCTGAGCCCCCCATACCTGCTTCTGGCACTTTCTCAGCACTCTGTTATCTTCTTCACAGCAGGTATCCACACCTGAATTACCTTATTATGCGTAATTATGTGCATATTGCCTCTCTTCCCTGGTAGGCTATAAGTGAAGGCGAGGTGTCTTTCTTATTCACAACTCTTTTCCTTGTGCCTTTTGGTTCGGAGGTTGGCACCAAATCCACTGAGCCACACCAGCCAGGGCTACTTTCTGTCTTGATGAATTTGACTGCTCTAGGTGCCTCATACCAGGATCGTTTCCTTCCCTTCAGTAGCAGAGATACCTGGAAGGGACTGGATTAATTCCCAGTACCCACCCAAAGCTGAGGATAAGCATCAGGGGTTTTAGAATTGCTAGAAGGACCGTGGATCTCAGAAAATATCCATTAACTGACTGAAGTAGTTTCAGCAGGAGTGACGTAATCTAGTCCACTTTTCACAAAGATAACTGGCTGTTGCAGAAGACAGGAAGGCCAGAGAGGAGAGTAGCATGTGGGAGCAGCAGTGGGGAAGAAGAGAGGTGGACCAATTCCAGCGGCCTTATGAAGGTAGAACCGGTAGGACTTGTTACTAGATTAACTGCAGGTATGAGAGAAAGGTCAAGGGAACAGCAACTACTTCTTCCACTGGAGGACTTGAGCAGTTGAGTGGATGAAGGTGCCATTTGCAGGGCAGGGAGAACCAGGGAGAGGGTGCAAACAGGTTTATAGAGAAAAATCAATAGTTTAGTTTAAGACATCAGTTTGATTTGCTTGTGAAGCTTCCAAGCAGGGCGACCAACCAGGCAGCTGGGTCTCAGAAGGAGACGAGCTGTTGACATAAATTTTGAAACCATCAGTTCATGGATGGCATTTAAAGCCTTGGGAATGGATGAAATCTTCTAGCAAGAAGGTGTTAAAATAAGAAGGCAAAGGGTGCAGAATCAAGCCCTGAAGAACTCCATTGGAAGGTCCAGCAGAGGAGGAGGAGTGGGCAAACTGAGGTCAAAAGGAGCAGCCAGTGGGAGTAAAAAGAAACCTAGAAAAACGGTATCCTGCCAAGAGCTAAGAAGAGAAGAAACTGCTTGAATGCACCAGGCCCCAGGGCTGTATTCTCCTTTGCTGGGGCTAGAGCAGTGGCACCTTGGAGACCCAGACCCTAGCTTCTGGGGCGCCCATGATTGTTTCACCTCTCACCCTATAATGCTCTGCCCCCTGCTGGCCATGCTGGGGATGTGCACTTCCTTGCATTTGGCCTATTTGTACTTCGCCCACCCCAGGTCACCCTGACTGCTTCTTTGGGGACATTCAACACCCTCGTTGACATCCCAGACAGTGTGGTGCGGGGCAGAGGCCAGAAGCAGCTGACCATTACGACCAGGGACCGGAAGCTTTTGAATTTCATCCTCCAGCACGTGACCTACACCAGCACGGTGTACCAGCTGCACAGGGTGGATGTGGGTGAGAACCTGTCCTTGGGTGGCAAACAGGAAGCTGAAAACACTACTGGGCCTTCTCAAGGTCTCTCTCCTCCTAGAAGCCTGCCTGAATTTCAGATGCTTCCCTTGCTCCTGTTTCTAATCCTAGACACCTAACTTCGAAATTACTGTACCCGGAAGTATCCCTACATTGCCATTGACCCCATAGAAGTGACTCGAGGGAAAGGACAGGTGAAAAGCCTGCTCCTCTCTGTGTGAGGACAGATCATTCACGCTGTGTGCATAGAAACCATCCCTTTCTTTTCTCTGTTCTCTAGTTCTCAAAGCTGAAGACTTCAGCTGTGGTGGAGGAAGGAGCCAGTCTGTGTATCTATTTATTGTCCTGGGAATTAACAGGAAAGGGATGTGGGGAACATCTTGTCCAAAGGGCAATGGCTTTGACTCTTCCTTCCCAATCAGCCTCCAGCCCCTACTTAGGAAGTCCCTGAAGAACAAGTCCTGCCATCCTCAGGGCAGCGGGTTTCTTCGTGGATGAATTAAAGTCACCCTTTTCTCTTTTACCTCGCATTCCCAGGACACTAACAAAAAGAAATGAAACTTGATCACACCCGAAAGACGGCTCGCTCTGCCTTCAGTTCTCAAACATTTCCTTTCACAAAATGACCCTGTGAGTTAAAATAGGGCAGGTATTATTATCCTGGTATGGTAGCGGGAGGAGACTGAGTGATGATCGGCCCAAGGCGTTTCAGATAGTAAATGGCAAAGTCAAATGGAATGCTCAGCCTCTGACACCACACCCACCCTAGCGCACCAGATTCCAACGAGGGCAAGGAACGTGAGTTGAGGAAGCACTTGGCCGGTGGCCGCAGGGACATACCGCAAATCCGGAGCCAGAATGCCGCGAACTCCATTACGTGCTTGGTCTCATCCCGGCGGGGACATTGTCTACCAAACCTTCGCCCCCTCCTTGCGTGGGCTTCCCCGGGGAGCGTGGAGAGTGACCCAGGCACGGCGCTGACCCCTGTGACCTTTTTTCTCTCTGCAGTGAGTCTGGAGTCCAAGTCCTCAGTAGCCAAGTTTCCAGTGACCGTGCGCCAACCTGTCATGCCCAAATTATATGACCCTGGACCAGGTAAGGCCCTTGCCCCTGGGGCTGCACGGTGGCATCCTGTAGAATTATTGGTGAAATTCGGGTCCCCTCTGAGGAAGAGAACCCATCAAAATAATAGCTGTAATATGATTCCTGGCAACAAGCTTCGTTTGTTTGGCGTAAAACAATTCTATGACACGGTGCCCTGATACTGCTTATTTATACTTATTATATGGTTGTGCTTATTTTGAAAAAGACATAAAGGATAACGTTTTAATAAGTAATAGTAACAGTAATAAAAACAGAATGGTACTAGAGCATGAATAGATATATCAATGGAATCAAATTGGAGTTCCAGAAATGGGCATGTTGGAGTTTTACCATTTAATTTAACTTTTCAAATTAAAGGGGGAAAAGATAGATCATTTAAGAAATCATGGGGGGTAACTATAGCTATGTGGAACATGAGTAGTTGAATCTATCTCATAGCTCATACCAAGATAAATGCCAAATAGATCAAGTATCTAATTTTTTAAGTACTAGAAAAAATGTCATTTAAAAATGACATTAGAGTATAAGGCCTTTCTGAATATAACAAAACTCAGAAGCTGTAAAGAAAAGACTAAAACATAATATACATAAAAATTTTTAATGCTTTTTAAAAAGATTTTATTTATTTATTTTTTAGACGGGAAAGGAAGGAGAAAGAGAGGAAAAGAAACATCAATGTGTGATTGCCTCTCACATGCCCCCTACTGGGGACCTGGCTGGCCACCCAGGCATGTGCCCTGGCTGAGAATTGAACCAGTGACCCTTTGGTTCTCAGGCCAGCGCTCAGTCCACTGAGCCACACCAGCCAGGGCAAAAAATTTTTAGTGTTTTAATGACAGAGACCCACCATATGCAAAGTTAAATTTTAAAAAAACAAGTTGGGAAAAAAAATCTTCAACTTATGTTAAAGTCAAAGATCTAATTTTACTTAGAGCACCTGTGAATCTGTAAGTAAAGGACACCTAATAAGCCAGTGGAAAATGCACAAATCACAAAAAATTAAATTTGGCAAGACTTTTAGCCATTAAAATATATGCTCAGAATCACACTGAGAAAAGTGCAAATGAAAACTATATTTATATCAAAAAGTACTGGACAAGGAGCGGGAAAACAGACATTCTTACAAACTGGGCTGGTGGGAATGCAAACGGACACAGTTCTGGAGGCACCAGCACTACCTACTGACATTTTAAGTGCGTGTATTGTTTGGGCCAGAAATTCCATGTCTAGAAATTATCGTACAGGTACTTACATCTGTGTGAAATAACATTTGTTTGCAATGACAAAAACATTAAAAGTGGGATGTTCTAGAAGGAGGGAGGAGGAAAGCAGAAAGGTTAGAGTTTTTAAATTCGGATACAAAATGCTTTCCAAGATGTGAGCAAGGTACAGAAGAGAGTGATGAGTAAGCTACCATTTATTTATAAAAAGAAAAAGAAAGGGAAAAAAGAATGTATGTACATAATTGCTTAATCATGGACAAAGCAAATAAGAAGTTCGTAGTATTGGTTGCCTCCTGGGAGGAAACCAAGTAGTTGGGGACAGGGGTGGGAAGAAGTATTTTCATGGTAGTACTTTCTATATTTAGAATTTTGAATTACTTGGCATTTTAAAAAATATACTACCTACATATTTAAAATAGAATAGATTCTATCCAAGTAATTCTATTCAAAATATAAATTAAATTATTTAAAATAGAAATAAATATGATGGACAATGATTTAAAATATTTGTGTACTATAACTATCTCAAAAATAAATAAAATAAGCCTGAGGAAATTCCCAAAAAACTTTTTAAAGGGCTTCAGGTTTGTTTTAAAGATTAAGTGTTACCGACCTAACGGGAATCACAATCTAGTCCCCTCCCTGCCTCCAACAACCACAATCATATGTATTTTTCCATGCTTTTGTACATTTAATATGTAGATTCCTATTCCTACACATGCACGCACACTCACAGTGCATATAGTGTGGGTTTCTGCATTTTTTGAACTTTTCATAAAAGTTATCACACTGTATAGTATGAAGTTCCAGATCCTGACTTTTCGTCAGCCCATGGCTTGTCTTTTGATTTCGTTTCTGGGGTCTTCTGTTATATGAAAGCTTTATCCTTTAGTGTATTAAAATTGATTCATTGTTTTCTTTCTAGTTTTTGCTTTATTGTGACTTGTTTAAGAAGTTTTTCCCTACACTAAAGCCAGAAAGATATTCTCCTGTATTTTTTCCAAAGATGTATATGTTTGCTTTCCCACTTAGGTGGCTGAACTACCTAGAAATTATTATTATGTGTGGCATATGATGGAGATCTAATCTTTTGGCTTATGAACAGCAAATTGTTCCAACACCATCTAATCCCTTCCTCCTCCCTGGCTGGTATTGCACTCCGTTACACACCAAGGTTCATATGTGCAGGAGTCTGAATCTGGGCTTTCTTTGGCTGCACTGATTCATTTCTCTTTGGGCGAATTCCATAATGTTTTTAAAAAAAAATTTCTTTGTCATTTATTTATTTATTAAAGATATTCATTTTTAGAGAGAGGAAGAGAAGGAGAAAAAGAGGGAGAGAAACACCAATGTGTGAGAGATACATTGATCAGTTGCCTCTCACAGGCCCCCAAATGGGGACCTGGCCTGCAGCCAATGCATGTGCCCTGACTGGGAATCAAACCAGCGACCTTTCAGTTCACTGGCCAGCAATCAATCCACTGAGTCACATCAGCCGGGGCTAATTCCATAATGTTTTGATATATTTTATAATAGGTTTTCTATCTAGTAGGGATAAGTCCTGTACTTTGGGATGACTATACTTCATTTGTGAAATTTTTTAAGTGTAAATTTTCTTTTGGTCTTTTACTCTTCCATTAGAATTTTTGGGTCAGCTCATCAAGATCCTCTAAAATGCATTGAGATTCTGATTAAAATATTGTAGAACTTAAATATTAATTAGAGCTCTGGATGGTGTGGGTCAGTGGATTGAGCACCGGACTGTGAAGCAAAGGGTTGCCAGTTTGATTCCCAGTCATGGCACATGCCTGGGTTGCGGGCCAGGTCCCAAGTTGGGGGCATGTGAGAGGCAACCACACATTGATGTTTCTCTCCCTCTCTTTCTCCCTCCCTTCCCCCTCTCTAAAAATAAATAAATAAAACCTTTAAAAAATAAATATTAATTAGAGATGAATTGTCAACATTATGAAGTTGAATATTCCCAGCAATGAGTTCAGTATGCCTCTCCATATTGTAGTTTCCATAGGTTCTTCAGCGATTTACTTTTTTAAATATTTATTTTAGAGAGAAAGGAAGGGAGGGAAAAAGAGAGGGAGAGAAACATCAATCTGTTGCCTTTTGTATGTACCACAACCTGGGACCAAACCCATAACCCAGGCATGTGCCCTGACCTGGAATTGAACTGGCAACCTTTCACTTTGTGGGATGCAGCTCAACCAACTGAAGCCACACTGATCAGGACCTCTTCAATAATTTATTTTGCAATTTTATTTGTAAAGGAATTTCACATATTTTATTGGATTTAGTTTTAGGTACCTTATTTTTATTATTGTTGTGAATCGGATCTTCTTCTTCTACATGTAATTGATTGTTGCACATATATAGGACATTGGTAATTTTTGAATGTTGAACTTATAAACAGCATCCTTGTTGCACTTTTATTAATGGTTTTTTAAACATACAGAGTCTCTTAGACAAATGATGATTTTTGTCCTTTCCTTTCCAGTTCTTATAACTTGTTTCTTTTTCTTGTCTTACTGCATTTGGCTAAAGTCTCCATTTTTACAGTGTTGAACGGTAGCAGGCACTTTTGTTTATTCCTGACTTTAACAAGAATATTCTAATGTTATACCACTAATGGTTGCTGTGTAGGGGTGTGATAGATATATCAGGGTAAGAAAGTTACCTTCTTTCCTTCTATTTCTATTGCTAAGCATTTTTCTATTTCTACTTTCTGTTTTCTATCTCATTGCTAAGAGTTTTTATTATAAACGAGTATTGAATTTTATAAAGTAATTTGTCTGCCTATCGAAATAATTTTCCCCCTTGATATGGGTTCACACAGTGATTTCTATTGATTGATTTTCTGCTGCTGAAATACCCATGCATTGCTGGAATAAACCCATGTTGATTGCAATGCATTATTTGATGAAATGCTGAATTAAATTTACTACTATTTTATTTAGAATTCTTGCATCTGTACTCAAAACTGAGAGTATCTTTTCCTGTAATGTCCTAGCTCAGTTATCAATATTATATGTGTCTCATAAAATGAGTTGGGTAGCTTTCCTTTTTTTTACTATTTTCTGAAATGAATTGTAATCAAGTAGGAATTACATGTCTCTTGAACTTTTCTTGAAATGTATTTGGTCCTTGAGTCTTTGCGGGGGCTTGCGTTGCAAGGTATGTGGTTAGGGATTAAGAGTGGGAATGTGTGAGGGAAAGGGGAAAAATTTTTAAATAGCATCCTGTGTCTTAATGGTTATTAATCTGAATGTACATTGAGTCAATTTTTTAAATGTTTCTATAAAAGTATCCACTTGATGTAAAATGGTCAGTTTTTGTCATAAAGTTGTTCATAGCATTCCCTCTCTTATGCTTTTTTATAACACTTAAATACATCTGAAGCCATGCACCCTTTTGGTTAAGCATGTTCAACTATTCTCATTTTTTTATACCTGTTGTTTCATATTTTCTGCTTTATATGTGTGATTCTGTTATTCAAAGATTTTTGAATCAAAGATTTTAAACATTTTCATTTTAAATCCTTTTCAGATGTCTCTATGATTTTCAGTCTATCTGGTGTGAGTTCATCGCCACAAGGTAGATTTGTTGGCTGTTGTTTTTCATACTAATTTTGAGTGTTTTGGAGTTTTTGTTGGTGTGCTCATCTGGAGTAGATTTTTGCTTGCTTGTTTTGTCTCCTCTCTTCCTCTCCTGATTCCTTCCCATCTCACAGCTTTACAGTTGCATCTGTTCCCAGGTTCCCCAGATTCCTAGCTCATTCTCTTACACTGGGGTCTTGGCCTCCTGTCCCATGGCGATATTGGAGTCAGTGAGGAGCCAGGCGCTGGGCTGAGTGTGGCTTGGCACAGGTCCCGCTGTGAGATGGTATCATCTCTCTTTGCACCTAGAGGTGTGTGTAGAGGTGATAGCTGTTTGGGGTTCCTTGTGCAGTAGGTAGCAGGTGGGGGACGGAGAGAATGCAACCTCATTTCAGTCTCTGGCTTCTAGCAAAAAGCCTGGCTCTGGACCCACACATCCCATGAGACGCTTTTACTTCGTTACCTTACAGAATCGGCCTCTCACCTCCTCTGTTGCTCAGACCCCAGAATTCAGCCTTTGTTTGCTGCTATGTATTTCCATTCCTTGGAAGAAATGTCATCTATTTTTTTAGCATGGCTGTATCTTTGTATTTTTCTTTACCATTACTGTGTGTTTGTAGGGGAGAAAAAGAGAGTCTCAAAGCAGAAAGCTACTCCACCAACCTGGCCAGGAATCCCTTACCTTGACTACAGCCTGTGATAATTCACACTCCTGGTTCTCTTTAACAAAAGAACCAAACTTGTCCTCTGGCCTGAGGAAAGAAAAGGGAGGATTCATTTGACACGCTCTGGAATGTGATCTACTTGATTCTTCCCACCGATACGGTTTCTGCTCAGACCAGGAGAAGCTGGAGCAATGGAGCAACCTGGGCGTTGGGAATGACCCCCGTCACACTGAGAAAGCGGCTCCGCAGTGGGATTATAGAGCGCTCGTTCACAAACCCTAGGTAGGGTTGTGGCTTTCAGCATGAATTAACCCTAGCTGAGCCCACCCACCCAGACCCCGAGTGCTCAGCCCCAAGTGGCTCCACTGTTGGTAGCTAAATTCCAAACACAGGCCAGCAGCTGTTTTATCATGGGGTCTTTTCCATAGAAAAGCTGTCCCTTCTCCAGTCCTTCATGTAAATCACATGCCTTAAGAGGGACCATCTGGTCTAGACCTTCCAATCTCCAAGTAGACCTATTTTCATTCATGTCTTCCTGAGCATAAAGTCCAAGTAGGTTTCTCTCCAGGAGTTTCAGCTGATGACAGGGGCAAGTCTCAAGTCCTTTAGACCCTCTGTCCTCTTCCTGGGCCCCTTGACCTTCCATATTGAAGGGAAAAGCTCTGTGCATCTCAGCTCCTAGCATTAAGTGGAAACAGAATGCAAAGTGTGACAGACAATAATACAATAAAGCATTCACATAGACAGTAGGAAATGGTATAGTGCAACCAAACAGAACCAGGAAAAAACCTCTAGAATGCAAGACAGATAAAATTTCAACAAACTGTGTTATGTTTTAAATTAATTTATTTTCCAATTTTATTAAATTTATTGGAGTGACACTGGTTAATAAAATTATATAGGTTTCAAGCATGCAATTCTATAATACAACATCTGTATACTACATTGTGTGTTCATCACCCAAAGTCAAGTCTCCTCTGTTACCATATATTTAACTCCCTTTCCCTCTGGTAACCACCATACTGTTGTCTATATTTGTGAGTGTTTGTTTGTTTGTCTTATTTGTTCATTTGTTGCTTTCAGTTTCATATCGCACGTATGAGTGATATCATATGGTTCTTGACTTTTTCTGCCTGAGTTATTTTGCTTAGCGTGATACTCTCAAGATCCCCCGATGTTGTTACAATTGGCAGTATTTCATCCTTTCTCACGGTTGACTTGTGTTCCACTGTCTAGATGTACCACATCTTCTTTATCCCATCATCTCTCTAAAGGGCTCCTCGGTTGTTTCTTTACTGTGGCCACCGTGGATTATGCTGCAGTGAACATAGGGATACAAAATATACTTATTTTCTAACCCAGCAAACAAACCCTTATTAAGCACCTACTGAGGCACGAGGCCTACAAACACTGAGAGGCTGTGGCATGAAGAAACCACCAGAACAATGCAAGTTAAGACAGTGAGGCTTCTCGAGAGACAGTGCGCTGACATCTACCCTTTCTTGCCCAGAGAGGAAACTCAGAGACCTGGTGACTATTGCCACCAAAACTTTCCTCCGTCCCCACAAGCTCATGACCATGCTCCGGAGTGTTCGTGAGTATTACCCAGACTTGACTGTGATTGTGGCTGATGACAGCAAGGAACCTTTGAGAATTAATGACAGCCATGTGGAGTACTACATCATGCCCTTTGGGAAGGTATGTCGCTCCCAGATGGGGAGACGCCAGAGGGCCCCAGAGTCAGGTGCTCCCCTGGATGGGGCTGCTTCAGTGGCTTTCCCCAGGGAACAGGGCCCTCAGTGGGAAGGGATAAGACTCTTCTCTGAGCCCCCTTGCTGACTCCAGACTCACAGAGAAACCAGGCCGCTCTCCCTTTTCTGTATTAACGGGGCAGTTAATCTGACTCCCCTCGCACTTGGTGTGGAAGTGGATTGTGGTCCTTGTAAGCGATTTGAGGTGCCTGACATCCCAAGGATTCCTGACATATGACTCCAACAGCAGAGAAACTTCTCGTCCCTAAGATTCCACCCAAGCTGAGCGTCTGTCTCTCTCTTTCTCCATCACATACCTTCCTCCAAGGACACACAGAATGAAGCAGATACTATACATACCAGAGAGTCCTACCTTCCAATGTCTTCCAGGCAACATAAGGAGACATAGAAGGAGAACCACAGAGGTTCTATCAGATGGAAAAGGAATTCAATCCATCCATATCGGCCACAGGGCCAAGAAAGGACTTTCTAGTCTTTCAGTCTTTGATCCAAAAAGTCACTTTCCTTCTTCCAGTGCCTCTGGATCATGGACTCCCTTTAACCTAGCGGCTCTCAACCTCAGCTGCTTATTGCATTCACTCCCACAAGTTCTGATTTAATTCGCCTGGGATGCAGCCTAGCTATTGGGAACTGAGAAAGCTCCCCCACGTAATTGTTCTACTGGTAACCACTGATCTAACCTCATTCCACCTGCAGGGTTGGTTTGCTGGTAGGAATTTGGCCATATCTCAAGTCACCACCAAATACGTTCTCTGGGTGGACGATGACTTTGTTTTCAACAACAAGACCAAGATTGAGATGCTGGTGGATGTTCTGGAGAAAACTGAACTGGACGTGGTAAGGGAGAGTTGCCAGTTTCCCCCCAGTTGCAACCGGTAGAAATAACGAAGAGAGGGAAGGAGAGGAGACGAGAAGAGAGGAAAGTATGTGAGGGAGGAGGAGAAGAAAAGAGAGAAGAGGAGAAGGAAAGAAGGTGAGGGAGCGGGGCGGATGCAGAGGATGAATAGCCAGCACAGCTCTGGGGCTCGGAGCGTCACACCCGGACTCAGGAGGTGTGCGAGTTCTGTTTCCGTCTCCGTGCTTACTTTTCTTGGAGAAAATTATAGCCCCCGCCCCGATCCACCATCTTTCAAATGGTATGTTTATGCCTCACTTCTAACCTCCTCCTTGGAATGGCATGAGATGAAGAGAGAGTAAGTAGTGCTCGGGTTCTGTCGCACACCATTTAAAAAAAAATGTAAATGGTACAAAGCTTTAAAAGCACGCTTATCCCTGATGACATTTTAAAAAGAAGAAAAAAAATCAAAAGTCAATTCACATATAGAAAAAAGAAGAAAAAGGTACTGATAGGTAATGGTACTGTACTGTGAAAATTTGGGAAGAGGATAGATCGTAAACCTTCTCACCACACAGTGATACTTATGTTAAAGTGAGAGATATGTCCATTAGCTTGGTTGTGGTGGTCTTTTCACAATGTATACATATATCAAAACATCAAGCTGTATACCTTAAATATATGCAATTTTAATATGTTGAAGATATCTCAACAACAGCTGTTTTAAAAGAAGAAAAATGGGTAAGGGGGACTGTGACTACAGTCAACTGTTACTCCAGATGGACAGTCCCCAAAGCATCCAGGCGACCACTCTAGTCTCTCAGCTACGCTCCTGGAGACCAGATCACAATGGCACAGATGAGATAGAAGGTGTAGTTCCCGCCCATGTTAAAATCCGAGCCGGCACTGGACTCTGCTTCCGCGGTCATCCTGGACCTGCCTCCTTCTCTTGTTGCTCCATCATCCTCATGGTCCTCAGCCGCAAAGCCAGAGGAAAAAGGGAGCGCAGAAGCAGGCCATTTTCTTTTAAAAATGTGATAGACGTAAATCATGGCCTGTCAGCCAGGACTTAGCCACATGGTCAGTCCATGCAAAGGAAATGGAGACATTTCTTCTTTAGCTGGGTAGTGAACCGTATCTTAACATAATCTACTGAAAACCCAGAGGGTTCATTTATTAAAAAGGAGGAAGGAAAGGGCACGTGATGGGGGATAGCAGTAGGCTTTACTATACCACTTTGAATGATTGTGATGGTTCAGGAATAGATGTATTTGTTTGTCCTGCTTGGCGTGGGCTCAGATATAGAAATGCGCGGGTCTTCCATGAGTGCACGGACAGCCACTCAGAGAGGAGAGCGAGGAGCAGAGAACGCGAGGACAAATTGCAAGAAGCCCAACGGGGGAGACTCCACATACAGATCACTGGGCATGCGGGCTGTCTCCTCCTGATGGAAGAAAGTGAGTTACCTTCTTCTGGAAAGGATGAGCTTGCTGTAGGGCAAGCAGTGCAGAGAACTTGTCTACCCTTGCAACTTGGTATAAGTGCTTTCTGCTCTCACCCAGGAGATTTTCTGGGGTAAGTAGGAATGAAGGATCAAAGGGCCAAGAAGTATATGCTGAAGGCTGTGGCCACAATAGCGAGAAGAGAGCAACTGAGGGACAGTATGAAGGGTAGACAGAGAAAGGGTGTGATTCTTGTTGCAACTGAGGTACAGTCCAGTAAGGCTTCCTGGCAGAGGTGAGATGGATATTGAGCCTGTGTCCTCTAATGTAGATTTCTCTGTCCATGGGCTAGGTAGGTGGCAGTGTACTTGGAAACGTGTTCCAGTTTAAGCTCTTGCTGGAGCCAGGTGAGAATGGCGGCTGTCTTCACCGGAGGGCAGGATCGTTCCGGCCCCTGGAGGGCTTCCCCAACTGTGTGGTGACCAGTGGCGTTGTCAACTTCTTCCTGGCCCACACAGACCGACTGCTGAGAATTGGCTTCGACCCCCGCCTGCAACGAGTCGCTCATTCAGGTGGGGACGCTGAAGGAGGGAGGACAGCAGCTGGGCTATGAACTGACCTTGGAAGTTTGGTCTTTCAATAGACGTTCCACTGATCACAGCCGCTTGCCTCGTGACAGCGGGTTTCCCTTCCCTCTTTTCCCAAATTAAGGAGCTGGTGGTCGCTCTTGCCTCCCTCTTCACCCTCCTTTGACTTCTTGTCTGCTGCAGGCTCCTCCTGCTTACCTGAGACAGCCTTCCCCTTTGCTTTGGCTCTGTCCCCGTCCTCTTTCCTCTCTTTGCTTCCTATTCTCATTTCCCCCCCCAAATCCTTTCCTTTTTAACTGCAACTGGTTAACTGCCCTCCCTCTTTCCCCTCTTATTCTCTCAGTCCCAGAGTCCACAGTCTGTCCAGCTGGAAGCTAATCTGTGTTTCTCTGCCTCCCCATATCTCTGTCTGAGAAGTGAGCTTATTTATTTCCTTCCAAACCAGCTTCGGCAGGGGGCTCTGGTGAGGCTGAACTTCCCCAAGGGTATAAACTCTTTTCCCCGCCCCGACCCTCATCCTAGCCAAGGAATGTGGCCCTGGGTCTCTGCCTGAAGCTCACATTTCCTTGTCCTGCTCTCCTTCTCTTGGCAGAGTTCTTTATTGATGGCCTCGGGAGCCTGCTCGTGGGGTCCTGCCCAGACGTGATTATAGGTCACCAGGCCCATTCTCCAGAGGTAGACAAGGGGCTGGCTGCCCTGGAGAAGACCTACGGCAAATACCGGGCCAACACCAATGCCCAAATCCAGTTCAAGCTGGCTCTCCACTACTTCAAGAACCATCTCCAATGCTCTACATAAAGGTGCCCGGGCATAGGAGAAGCTCTAAGTCAGCTGATTGCGGCTATCTGGAGCAGGGGAACGGTGGTCAAAGAATAGACTCCTAAAAAGATGAACATTATAATAAACTATATAGTGTGTAGGGCAAATGGGATGGGTTCAGTTACTGGAAAGATCACTCACAGGCTAATGGCCATTAGCCCACTCACTGATCAGGGCAATGGAGACCATATTAATAATGATTATTTATTTGTATGATGTCTCACTGTTGATGAAGCATTTGTACATGAAGTATCTCACATCGTTTCCTTAGGTCTCACAGGAAAGAAGGGTGGTATCCTCAGTCAAAAGAGTGGCTGGCTGTTGGGTTCTTGAGGGTTATTTGGTGGCAATTATGTAACAGTCAGAGCATCATCTCCAGCATCGCTGTCATCCACAAATTTTTATTTGGTCCTTCCTTGTGGATTCGGATAATGTGAATACCCCATAGTCCTTGCGTTGAGAAGGTTGCAGCCTGGTTCAGTTCAGTGCACTAGCATCACTGGGCAGCCAGTGTCAGAGGGTTAGAGGGTCAGAGGAGGGAGAAGTCACATGGCCCAGGCAGCTGAGGAAGGCTCTGTGGAGTGAGCTTATCTGGAGCCTGGAAGATGGATGGGATTCAGGCAGTTGGAGGGCGGGAGGAGAGCATTGGGTGGTTTACTGTCTGCTAGAACAAAGGTTTTCCTGGCATGAGACTTGCTACCACAAAAACACATTCCAGAATGCCAGGGATTGAACTTGGACCCCACTCTAAGGTGTCATAATAAACAATGTAAGTGTGGTGGCAAGCCACTGAATTCCTGGGCCTTGAGGCTGGTTACTGACTACTCAAGACCCATGTCACCTACACAATGGAGCCATCACGTGTTGTTGAGGAAGGCTCTCTGTTGTCTTTGGAGTCAGCAGATTCTACAACTGATCTAGCCCTCCCTTTATGATTTCCACTCTTTCCTACAGAAGATGGCCACGGGAAATTCAGGATCTCTGAAGATGTGTCTGTGAGATAGTAATAAAACTGAATGAAAAATATTTTAGGCCCTGGCCAGGTAGCTCAGTTGGTTAGAGTGTTGTCCGGATGCACGAAGGTTGCAGGTTCGATCTCTGGTCATGAACCTATAGGAAACAATCAATGAATGCATAAATAAATGGAACAACAAATCAACACACACACACACACACACACACACACACACACACACACAAAAGTGGTCAAATAATTTTCAAAAACATTGCATTTCACATTAGCATAGTAAAGGCTCTGAGAAGTTCTGTAGTAAAGAAATCATTTTCCACTTGAATTCAGCATTTCTCAGATATAGAAATAGACTGGTAGTCACTTTTTATTTCCTGAAATTGGAATTGAACACACATACCTCATCCCATTGCTGTCTTAAAGATTCTTTTGCAGAAGCTTGTCCAGTTTTAACCAATGTGCCCAATCACTTCATGTAATAGCACATGAATTTTATGTACAATAATGCTTGACAGGACAAGGGTCTCAAGGTCAGGGCAGTTCTTACTGAATGCCATTCTTGCTAAATGTTATATAAAATGCAGCACAGTATTTTGCAGATGCAGCTATAATTAGATGAGCTTCACTCAAATTCAATCAGATAAGTTTACCCAACTGCAAAGGCAAAAATCAACATTAATATTACCCAAATAGTATACATAAGTAATGGCTAAGCCTCCTCTTTGGGAGACAGAGCTTTGGGTGTGAATCCTGTCTCTAAAACTACCTAGCAACAGACATGCCTCTTTCTTGAACAGGACAGGCCAGACCGAACCCCTCGAGTTGGGTGACATTCACAAGCCTGGGAGTGGCCATAGGAGTTAAAACTCACCAGCTTTCATCAGTTGGGTTTTTAAAGAAACTGAATTGCCCACGGGACCTCAAAAACTTACAGTTTTTCTGTTATTTCCAGTCAATTCTAGACATCTCGTCTAGACATAATCTTTGAGATTGGGAAATCCATTCCGGTAACCACAAGCCTCGAAGTCTTGCCTGTTCTTTGGCACTCAGCTAAATAGTCCCTGCCTTGAGGCGATTCAAACTCTGCATCTAAGGTACAGAGAGACCTTCCGTAATCTCTTTTTTGCCCCCATGTTTTTTCTTGTCATGGGCAGAAAAATGTTCAAAGTTTTGCAATGTAATAGGGCTGGTCTTTTTGCTCAAACTGATCTTTGGCTAAGCCTCCTCTCTCTGCTGGTCCTTTCCTTGAGGGAGAGAATTCAGCTTTTCCAGCCCCACAAGCCTCCAAATTATAGGACTCCTAGTAAACTTAGACTGCAAACCATTCTCAGCAAGATCATATTATACCTGCTTTTAAAACAGGGTGTCTCAGCCCAAGTCTTGTCCCTCCTATGGGTCCAAACTGAAGGCTGCATGAAGTCACTAACACACACCAATATCCTCATTTGTTCTGACCATTTCCTAGTCTTGACATTCTACAGTCTTGAGAAACAGTCTGTGTTCCAGACACAAACAACAGTTTCAGGGTCACCAGCTTCCCAGGTCACTGCTCTCTATCCCTCTCTTCTGCACAATCCCACATCAAATGGCCTTCACAGAGGATTCCTATCTGTATACAGCTCTTTTTCTTAATCTTTTGCTTGGGTGCTCCAACTGCCTTTATACCGTTCAGTCTTCCTGCTCCAGCTTCAAAGGAGTCTTCCATATAAAACCTACATTTCTCATCATCTTTTAAAGTTTACCAGAAGATTATCAAGGTTTTCATTATGTAATAGAGTAATTGTGCAACTTGCACATGTCTATTTCCTATCCTGTATGTTTGGAAAAAGAGCCCTGCTCTCTGCATGCAAGGACCCAGAAGTCATTACAAACAAAAAGGAAAAAAAAGGTACATTTGACTTGATCAAACTTAAAATCTGCTAATCAAAAGACACAATTACACAAGTGTGAAAGATAAGCCACAGACTAGAAGAAAATATCTATGATATAAATATTTGGCAAAGGATTCATATCACATATATGTAAAGAATTCCTATAAGTCAGTAAGATGATAATTTTTTTAAAGTGGGCAAAATACTTGAAGAAACACTCAGAAAAGAATATAACCAAATGACTAATGAGCATGTTTAAAGAAAAAAAAAAGATGTTCAACTTCATTAACCATCAGGAAACTGCAAATTCAAGCCACAAGGAGAGATCATTATACACCCACTAGAATGGCTTAATTTAAAAAACTATAATACCATCCATTAGCTAAGATGTGAAGCAACTGAAACTCTCATACACTGTTGGTGGGAATGTAAAACTGTACAGCCACATTGGCGAGCTGTTTGGTGGTTCCTGATAAATGTAAATGTATACTTAGCCTGTGACCCAGCAATTCCACTCCTAGGCACATATCTCAAACCAGAAAAATGTTTGCACAAGAATGGTCATAGTAGCTTTACTTATATCAGATCCAAGGTAGAAAAGACCCAAATTTCCATCAGCTGGAGAATGGACCAAGAAATTGGTATATTCATACAATGGACTCCTACTCAGCAATAAAAGCATGCTGTTGATATATAAAGTGCAATGGATGAATCTTGAACACATTGTTACCCCAAAACGGTATCATTTGTCTGGCTTTATTTTATATATATAAACTTTAAAATAGGCAAAAGTATTCTTTTGGTGATAGAAACGAAAGTAGTGATTTCAAGGGAACAGGGTAGGTAATGACTCAGAAAGGGCACCAGGGAATTTTCTGTGGTGATGAAACTCTTTATATCTTTAAATTAAAAAAATTATTTATCAATTATAATTTACATTTAATACAATTTTGTATTGGTTTCAGGTGTACAGCATCGTGGTCAGACAATTACACTTTACAAAATGCTCCCCCCGATATGCCCAGTGCCCACCGGGCACCGCACAGGGTTATTACAAGATAATGCTTTACATCTTAATTTAGGCAGTGGCCACACAGGTGCATACATATGTAAAACTGTGATTTCAGTTCAGAGCTGTGATTTTATTTTATGTAAACAATATCAATAAAATACCATTTAAAAAGGGTGAGATCTATTTTACATGTACTGTTATGGAACAACCGTCAAGCCATGGTACTCAGTAAATAAAACAAGATGCAGAACAATGTTTTCATTTTTTTAAAGAAAAGGAATATGCTTATACATGTATATTTTTATAAGAATAACATATCTCTAGAAGGAGAGTATCAGAAGTTACCTCTAAGTAAGAAGAGAAAATTTTCGTTGGGAACTTTAATTCAACTACGTATTTCCTTTTATACCCTTTGAATTTTGTATCATGCTCATGTATTACCTACTTAAATATTTTTTAAAATTTTAAGGAAAGAAAAAACAAGAAGGCTTTTTAAGTAACAAGCTATTATTAGGTTAAGTGCCAAAACAAAACATAAAATATATATATACACACACACATACACATACACACATATACAGTGAGGTGACTATGTAAACATGCATTTTTAAAAAAAAGGAAATGATTTTTGGCTGATATGGCTCAGTGGATTGAGCATCGGCCTGTGAACAAAAGGGCTGCTCTTTGGCTTGATTCCTGGCCAGGACACATGCCTGGGTTTCAGGCCAAGTCATCCCCCGAGCTGGGGGTGTCTAAGAGGCAACTTATGAGTGTTTCTCTTGCACATTGATGTTTCCCTCTCTCTCTGTCTCTCTCTCTTCCACTCTCTCTAAAAACAAATAAATACATTTTCAAAAAGCATTTTCAAAAAGGAAATGAAACACATCAAATGTTAGAAGTGCTTGTTGGCACTGTGGCTATTTTTAAATCTTTCTACTTTACTGCACTTTCTACATTTTCCATCATAAACGTTTTATGTTTATAATCTGAAAAGATAAAATAATTATTTTAAAAAGAGAAAATGAAAACACTCAAGAAAAAGATAAAATGTGGATGCTGCTTTGTTCAAAATAAGTGTATGGCCAGAGTTCTCCATCAAATTCTCCTGGGGAATGCCAGGCCCGGA